GGGTCATATCATGAAAGTTCAATATTTCAAATTATTCAAAACCCTCGTATTTTGAGTACTCTTCTAAGTCAGGTCAAAATATCCATGGTAAAAATACCAAGATTAGTTATTCGTCCTAGTAATCATTCTTTCATCTAGATCATCATGACATTTAAGTCATCAAAAAGTTTCGATGTCTTCATCCATCATGGTTAGGCTTAGTCCTCACTATGAAACAAACTTATGTACCAGAAAAAGAAACTCTCCACTTAATCAACCGTCAGATGAAACTCTTCTGATCCATAACACGAAACCATTTTATCATCTCTCACTTCAGAACTTCAGAAGTACCCATGCGAGGGATACCGTGCCTTTCTAACCAAACCAATATATTTTAGGCTTGAAGCAAAATGCACCAAATAACACCTCCGAAGTACACCATTTTCTTGACATCATTCCAAACAAACGATCAGGAACACCACTGCAACATTAAGTCGAGTTCTGAATCGACTTAAATCCTAGGAGCTACCCAAGTTGTTAAGTCGCCTCACCTTCTTGCTCCAACAGAGATGTAGGAACTTTCCAGTCATCTTAACGAACTTCTCAGAGAAGGATTCATAGGACAAACTTCTCACCATGGGGAGCCACGATCTTGTTCGTAGGGAGGAAATACGGATCGTTTCGCATGTGCATTGACTAGCGAATATTGAACAAACTTACCGTTAAAAAAATCCTTACCCCCCGCCTCACGTCGACGACTTATTAATCAACTATAATGAGCGAACTACTTTTCGAAGCTTGGTTTATGATCCGGGCACCATCAGTTACGAGTGTTGAGGAGGATGTTCCCAAAACAGCCTTCCGAACTTAATATGGACACTACAAGTTCATAGTGATGCCCTTCGGATTAACAAAAACACAGACGGTATTCATGGACTCAATAAAGATAGTGTGACACCCTTAATTAGATAAATTGGTGACGGTATTCACCGATGACATACTCATCTACTCCCGTGGTAAAAAGGAACATAGCCAACACCTACATCAGATTCTAGGAACACTTCAAGCAGAGAACCTCAACGTGAAGTACTCTAAATATGAAGTTCGGAGTCGAAAAGTCGAATTTTAGGGTCACGTGGTTAGCAAATAAAGTATTCACCAGGACCTTTCCAAATTAAAAGCCATTGAGAACTGGTCAGCACCAACGACACCTACAGAAATTCGTAAATTTCTAAGTCTTGTTGGCTAATACAGCAGGTTCGCATAGAACTTCTACAGGATAGCGAAACCGCTTACTACATTGACCCAGAAGGGTGTGGCCTTTGATTGGGAATAGAAACAAGAGAAGGTGTTCCAAACACTGAAGCAAGCCTTGTGCACCGCACCGATATTATCCCTCCCAGAAGGGATAGAAGATTTTGTCATGTATTGTGATGCATCTAACCAAGGGCATGGGTGTGTTATTATGAAAAGACGAAAGGTCATTACCTATGCCTCATGCCAGCTTAAGACACATGATTTCTCTAAAGATCTGAAGACACTGCTTGTATGGTAAGGAAAGCACCATCTTTGTAGACCACAAAAACATTCAACACACATTCGACCAAGGGGAGTTATTATTTTAGTGAGGTCAAGTAAACAAAGCAAAGTCGTAACCCGATAGTGAAGGTCCGCTGGAGTGCCAATCAAGGACCTAAATTCACTTTGGAGCGAGAGGATCAAATGAAAAAAAATCCTCATCTTTTCCCTTATCCATCTATTGTTGCTTAAACTCTAATTTGGGACTATATTCTCTCTAACAGGGGGATGATGTGACAACCCGAAATTTCTATCTTGTAAAGCCATCCGACTCAATCAAAAGTCAGACTTGTTTCTGCTATCTTTCAGCTATGTTTGGGGTATGTTTGAGTGTTCTAAGCCTAGTACATTCAACGAATGAGTGTTAAGAAGTATTTGCTTAAGATCATTGTACATTATTCAAGCCTTAAACTCCATCACAAGGAGTTTACGGCCGCAAACAAGGAGTTTACGGCCGTAAACTCTTGCCAGCCGTGAACTCATGCCCATCAGTCTCATATTCCTTCACTTTTCTTCATTATTCACATTTCTAAGTTGAGAAACACCCATTCTCTCTCAAGTATCATAAGGATCTTCATCTTGATCTTCAAAAATGTAAGTGGTTTTTCTATTTCCTTCATAATAGCCTTCTTGATGTAGTGAAACTCTATGATTTCATCCATTAAATCATCTCTTTTGAGTTAGATCTTCAAGATCATCAATTTTCAGCAAGAACACCAAGAACACACACTCATTCTTGGTGGACGAAAACACCCTTTTAGAGCTTTTAAATTGTGAGTATTCCTTCCATACACTTGCTACCTAGTAGAATCGTTAGCCTAAACACCTACAACAAATTATTTGATGGTGATTCCCAGGAGTTTATGGCCGTAAACTCCCTTCGACGTAAACCCCTTGGCCGTAAACACCCTAGGCCGTAAACATCATGGCCATAAAAATCTAGGTGTGGTCGTAAACCCCCTTTATACAATCATATGTGATTGTAACACTTAGTTTCAAGTGTCTCCTAGTCCCTAAGGTGGTTTCCTTACATGATTAGGTGTTGCATACACTAATTATATACATATATGTGTTATTATATGCATAATAGGCACAGTTTGTGCTCGGGATATCACTTGGTACACTTAGCATTCTATATCAGTCTTTCATCCGAATCACTCACCGCAGGTGAGTTCATACCCCTTAACTTAACTTTTAAATGATTTTAAATGCTTTTATGGGGGGGGGGGGAATACAAGTAGAAAACATTTTAGTTATATAATCAATCACAAGTGCTTTATAACTACAATGTAAAGAATTTCTTATATTTTAAATGTATTATCAAACAAACTGCTTCAAATCACTTTATAAACTGTCACCAAGTCATTAATACTTTCCAAATGTTAAAATATTTTCATATTTCACAAAACTCCTTTTCTAAACTTATAAATATTATCAAGAGCATGTCTATGTAGATATAGTTATATAAATAATGTTTAAAGGGCTTAGGCCTAACAACTCGCTTTACATACTTTTCCTTGTTTGGATGCGAACTTAGAGTGTCGGTTGTCTGTCCGAAGGTCGTTTAAATCTTAGTTATATATTATGTATATGTATGTAGATATAAAAGTGCTACCAATCAGTTCGATGCCTTTGGGCAATAAAGGTATACATTCACGATCATTCATTCAAACTATAGAAATTACTAGTAAACTATAATAGTTATAGCTTGGAGAATTACTACTTACTATTTCTAGAACATTGAAACTTACATAAATCAGTACTTACAAAATTCAGTTCTTACATGAGTTGGTTCAAACAAACAATAACAAATACAGAAAGGAACATACATCCTTTTTAAGAAACAATATAACTTTTATGTGAGTCTACTTCATGGCATAACAACAAGTTTGTTGTGTCACGTTTTGAAACTAGAGTCTCCTGGTGGGAGAGTGGACATTGTGTGAATAGATCTATACGGTAGCGACAAGCCCGCATCCTGACTGTTCGCTACAGTTGGCCGAACGGTCAGGGGTGATAAATGCCACATTTACTTTCGGCGCCAGAGGGTCGTCGTTTTAACTACTTGTCGATTTAGCAAGGTTATAACCACATCACATCCAAACCTTAATTAAAAAACTGGTTTTAAGGTAATTAGTGTTTCAGTAGGTAATTTTTACAACGTGACTGTACACTTTCATTTTTCTCATTTCATTTATATAGTGATATTCTCACATAAAAGGTGATGAAACTACTTTCTAGAAAAGATAGTCTTAAACATTGGGAAAACACACTGTAACACCCAAAGTTTGGAAGGCCAAGAAAGGAAAGAAAACCCTAATTTTAAGGGGCGACTCGGCGAGTCCAAGGAGGAACTCGACGAGTACGAGCAGGATCCGGGTCAAGGAGTAAGTGACCGACTCGGCGAGTCGGCCAAGGTGACTCAGCGAGTCTAGTTTGAACGAGGAAAACGCTAATCCCGGGAGTTGTATCCTATTTAATGGGTGTTATGTCCCTCCCTCAGCCCCCATATCATCCTAGAGAACCAGTAAACCCTTGATTTCATGTGAGCTCCCATCATTTGAGAGAAATAGCTTGGAGGAAGGAAACTTTGGAAAGGAACTTGAAGATCAAGAAGGTTGCTTCAAAGGAGGAGGTGTAGATTCGAGATCTACTTCAGTTGTGTTCATCTTGGAGGTAACAAGCTGCTAACTTCCCTCCTTAACATCTAGATCTACTTTTGTTATAAGATTTGGGGGTTTTATGGTTGTTTGAGACCAAATTCAAGTTTGGGGCCTAGATATATTGTTGCCACTTCAGATCTAGTATTGGGATGGTCTAATATATCATAAAGCATCAAAAGATGAGGAGTTGGTGAAGCCCTTTTGTCCCAAAACCTAGCCCTAGAGTGTTTTGAGCCTAGATCTCTTTAGTTATACGTAAAGTTTGCAACTTTACGTGAGGATCACTACTAGAAAAACAGCCTTTTACGACGCACAATTTATGATACGCATTGATTCACGATACACAAAACAATTGTGATCTAAAAATAATGTCATCTCTCTATAAATTTTAAGGATTTATGGCACGCATTTTTGCGTACCCTTAAATTAGTGTCTAAAAAAAACACGGAGGGCGCCTATAATAAAACGTGTGTCATCTGAGGATGTCGCTTTATAAATTTTAATGGAAACGCGCCTTCCATCCTTTAGTAGCTGAGGGGGAAAATGAAATCCTAAAAAATTAAAATCCCCGCCTTCCTTTTTGTTCCTTTCCCTCTTGCCCTAATTATCAACGCTCCTTCCTTCCCCCTACTGACATTGACTGCCACCTACTTCTTCCCTCACGCTTCGACCATCGTTACTTGCCATTCCCGATCGTTGACATCGATCAAGGAAAGCACGCCACCAGCCGACAACCTTCAATCTCTCCTTCTCATTTTCTCTGTAAACCCTAATCCGTATATGGTTCCCAATCGTTTCCCCAAAGGAAACAGATTTGATCTAATCATTTCCCCAGAGGAAACAGATTTGAACCCTCTTGATGACTATCAAGAATTCTTTGATGATCGATTGGTTCAAGACTTTAACTATTGAATGAAAAATGCATAATGGACACAGACCTTCTTGTTCAACTATGGTTTCCAGTAATTAGACAAGGCAAACATGGGGCCCATGTGAAGGAAGATCTGGGCCCATTTATGTGATTGAATCCGCTTCGTATGTGTTCGATCCAGAGATTTTAGGGTTCTTTGAGGCGACCTCAACCCAGCAGCTCGTATCGGGAGAAAGTATTGTTGGTAAAGCGTTGGGTACAAACCAGCAGCTCGTACCAGCAGCTCGCAGGTTGTCCATCATCAGCCACACACCGTGTTTTATAGGCCACAAAGACTTGGAGTAGATGAAATTGAAATCGAAATTGGTATTATCTAGCTGAATCAATATTGATTTGACTCCAAATTGCAGTCAATCGAAGGATTATTTAGTAAGGTGCACTCCTCTGTATTGTAAAAATTTCTCTTCTTTCTCCTTTATTCATGCCTCTGATTTCGATTTTTATTCTTCTTGTATTCTCCTTTGTAAAACCCTAACTGGAAAAGTGATACAGATATTAATCGTGATTTCCTCCTCTTTCCTTGATCCCCAATTCTACACTCTAAGCATCTCAGGTACGCTCCATTCCATCTCCCTTATTCTCTTTTTTTTTATGTCTCAGGTGAGACATCTATCTCCCCTACTTTTTTGCTTCTAAATCCCATTATGATAGTTGTTCACAGTCGCACACAGCACCACACACACATCCACATGTTTACTATTTTGATTCTTTCTGTCTATATTCATTGATAAGTTTGGGTTTTGATCTCTTTGTTATGGACTATGAATGGTGAATGATGCCTACTCCTGGATTTAGTAATAGTAATACTAATCAGTCTTACATGAAAACAGATATGTCCAACAATGTTGTTGGGCTATCGACTGTTGACTCAACAATGGTATCTCAGCCACTAAACCAAAAGCAACAAGTTGGTGGCTAGAACAGTCGCATATTACATATCCTTGGGAGCCATATGGGTGGGGGAATCAGGTCTACTTTACAACACAAAGCTTATGGATTTTCAAATGTCATAGAGAAAATGAGACACATTCTCATTATGGGACTGTTTTGAATGTCCATCAACAACAGATGTCACAGGGTACTCTCTCTCTCTCTCTCTCTGCTTTTGTCACTGTAGTATCCTCTTTAATGTTGATGGGATACTTAATACGTATACTTTGCAGGTGATGGTTATGGGAGTAGCACCACTGATTCTTCTCGAACCGGAAACTTTTATGTTCCCACAACCTCAAATACATCAATGATGAATAATCAAAGTTCCTGCATCAGGTTATTCCTTTAGAAAGGAAATTGTTAAAGGAGAACTTTTTAATTTTTTTTTAAATATATTTTGAAAGTTTGGCTTGTTACATGTTTGTGCAGTGCATTTTTCGCAAGTCAAAAGAATGCAAAGAGTGGCATAACATATTAATGGATTGAAATAATGTTGATGGGGTGGATAGTGCTAAAGATTTAGGGAGCTCTCAGCCTTATCCCTCTAATTTACTCGGCATTCCAGAGGCAATATTCAGTTTCTTTATATATATATATATATATATACAATATACATGTTAATATATATATGTATGAGTATGATTGTTGGTTTTTGTGTGTTGATACAGGGCAGTGCAAGAAAATCATTTCAACGGTTGCAGGGACCAATGGAAGAGTCTAAACAAATGATTGTTCTTGGTATGTATTTGCATTGTTGGTGATTCAAGCAAGTTTTTGATGTGCCTGAGACCTATAAATCATCCTTCTAAGTGTAAAAATTACTAGAGTGTATGTAACCTCATAATTTGTTGTATTTTCAGATTTTTGCAAACTGTCTTGATGTATCTAAACTGGATGATGGTGATGAAACTAAACTCAGGGTGTTAGGGAACAGTTCTGAATGCAATAACAATTGCATCCAGATCATCTGCAACCCCAACATAGGCCTGAAGACAGTTCTCAAAATCAACAATTAGCTCTAATACTTCAAAACCCTGATTCAAGATAACAACAAAATCAACATAATTTGAAAAATACCGTTTTTCAGTTTTCATATAAACTGTGCCAAGTATCGTGGTAAGGGCATCACATCTTGAACAAGTCCAAGTAAAAATTTTAAATTTGACATGTAAACATGCATAGTTTATTACTAATTCTTCTACTTAACTTAATTACTCCATAATGTCTCACGATATCATGTTCATCTTACTGCAGAAGCATATTCCACCAGAATTGTGGCGAGTGTGTGATTGTAAAGTGGTGAGGGAACCTTATTCTTGATTTCAAGTCCTGTGTCCATAAAATGACCTTAATAAATAAGTAAATGGGACATTCTTCAGAGCTGTTTCAAAGGTAAGTCTGCAAATAAATTAAAACAAAATTAATATGTGGGTTTCAAAATTATTATGATTCAGATCATATAATAACTGAATACAAACTTTAGCTTGTGGAAGTACAAATCCCATTCTTCAAGCTTTGATGGTGATAATCTCCAATCATATGGAACAACAAGAATATCATTTGCCTCAATCCCAAATTCAATGCACCATTCTTTCCATACTGATGAAAGAGGACCCGATAATCAAGAATTCACTTTCAGGGACTATATGTTACAACTTACATATAACGTATAAGTGTGTGTGTGTGTTTATGTATATACAGATGGAGAGATGAAAAGAATGTTACCTGTTATATAACATGGGTCAAGTTCTGTGATAGCTGAAAGGCCACTATCTGGACGTGACTTACACTCCGGATGAACCGATGTTTATTTTGTTATATAAAAAATTAATCTTTTAAAGTAATTATGTTGATGATTAATTAATTAAATATTGTAACAGGAATGACAAGGGGGACACACTGACTGCATTATACTACCACATTGTTAAGCCGTTGACCAACACAACTGTAAGTGCATTATACTACCCTGTAAGCCTTTTGTGACTTCTGTTGCAAATCCTTTATTCAGTTATCTTTTCATGGTAAAAGGTAAAAGCCTCATGCCAGTTTCACATAAAACTTTCTGAAAAGATTAGGTTTATTTCACTTATTGGTTTCTTAATTGTGCATATACTTGTAGGTTTTGTTGAAAAAGCAATACCGTTGTGCTTCCCTGCTTGTTGCCATCCATGGCTGTTATGTGAATCTTTGTTGGGTACTTGCATATGGAATAAAAAATACAACCATATCGGATTCACATAATAGTTTGTGATAAAGATAAAAAGGAGTTAATTTTGCATTTTTTTTGTAGCATAGTCAGTCACCTTACAGTCAGATTTAATTCGGAAATGTGTGGTGTAGTTTGCAGAAAGAACAGCACATGGATGACCCTTGCAGCTCGGTAAGTCCCTATGATTTCCTAAAAACTTTTCATCCTTTTCTAGTTCTTACAATGAGTGATATCCTTAATAGGTTCCAGAAATACTAAAATTGTGTTTTGTGTATGTAGGTTTGTTGTTGTGATCCAAACACCATGGTCCAGTTCTTGTGATTGCCCTCAACATTGCATTCTTGCAAGCAGTAGTCCCACACTTGCCTTAAATCTAACTGGAGAAGGAACAAAATCCCAATTTTGGATTGCTAGGGCACACTTTTGTAGGTAGGTAATCATAATCATATAGTTTGTTTTGTTGGTAAACAATGAGTTGTAATAATATTTTCAGTTCCTCTATCCTGGAATTAGGAAGCGATCCGGTGTACTCAATTGAACGCCTTCGCAAAGAGAATGATGCGGTTATTTTAGCAGTTGGGGTAACAAAGCCACGAGACCTCCCTGTTCTTGGACGTGAGCTCTCAGGTGTGCATTTTGCAATGGAATTTCTACATGCGAATACTAAAAGCTTATTGGATAGCAATCTTGAAGATGGAAACTATATGAGAGGAACCAAACGTAGCGCATTGTACTCTCATTTATTTTCTAACTATAACAATATACTTCCATTTTCTTAATAACAATGTACAATCGGATCCCCTTAGTCGTTCGAATGATTATTTGTATGGCATTAAATTTATGCAATGGATTCTATTTTTTGTATATGATATTTTATTTTTTATTATGAAACATTAAATACAAATTTAATTTGAAAATACGTAAATCCATAACTAATATTTTTTTTTTAATATTTACAATTATGATACGCAAAAATGTGTGTCATCTTTATTTATGACATGACCTTTCTTGACAGGGGCTTTCTTGATACGCAATGTGTGTCATTAACACGCGCGTCGTAAGGTTACGACATGCGAATGCGTGTCGTCTCCCTTTATGACAGGGCCTTTCTTGATACGCATTGCATGTCGTAAACGCGCGTCATAATTGTGTGTCGTAAATGCGCATCGTCTATAGACGACGCGCAAAAGCGCATCGTCTCTCTTTATGACAGGGCCTTCCTTGACGCGCATTTGCGCGTCGTCTGAGCCTTTTACGACGCGCAATGAGCATCGTAAAAGGCTGTTTTTCTAGTAGTGGATTGAGCTTTGGGAGTATGGATATATGACTTGGAACCCCTGCATGACTCAAAAGCCCTCTGCATGTAAAGGGATTTGAATGGACTCGGCGAGTCCTTTGTGTGGACTTAGCGAGTAGCATGAAGGTGAGGAGCAACTCGACGAGTGGGATGAACAGCTCGTCGAGTCAGATGAAGATTGCCTTGTACTCGGTGAGTCTGTTCTTGGACTCGTCGAGTCAGGTTGCGAAACCACAACCCTTCGAGTTGAGACTCGAATCAGTGAGTCGTGTGGAGACTCGGTGAGTTGGATAGGTGAGGACTCAGAAATCAGTAGACTCGGCGAGTCATGGACTGACTCGGCGAGTCGAGACGCGAATGGAAGGAATCTGAACATTTGAACTCGGCGAGTAGGGTTGACCTGGAAGGTTGACTTTGACCAGGACTTTGACTTTGACCAGAGTTGATTTGGTTGTCTTTCGGGGGTCAGTTAGGCTCAGTGTTGCTTTGATATTGGTAGTTCGGGGAGCAAGAGGAGCAGGATTTCAGTGAGTTATCGGGCAGCAGCTAGTGAGATCATCAGCAAGTTTAGCAAGTGCAGGTGAGTTTCCCTTTTGTGTGAATGGGTCTAAGGCCACAATGCTGGCCCATGTAGTTACGAGTAGAAGACCTGGGGGTTAGCCCTAAGCACAGTATGCTAGTATGATATTCAGGATGAGGTCCAGTAATAGCGGGCGGGTGCCCTAGGATTTGTTTATATGATAGTTTATACTTGTTGTCTGTGTGATACATGTATGTGCCTGGTAGGGAGGTGAGTGTGGGTGACGTCCCATATCTCACCAATAGCAGAGTGTGGATGGGGTTCCATATCTCATTAGTAGCAGAACAGGGGCGAGGCCTAAACTAGAAAAGGACTGAGAGTGGGTTGGGCCCGTATCTCACTACCAGTAGGAGTGTGGATGGGGTTCCATGACTCATCAGTAGCAGGACAAGGGCGAGGTCCAGGATAGGTGAGGCCTTAGGACAAGATCAGTCGTATGAGTTTAGCTTATGTGTTGTGACATGTTTATGTGATATTATTTGTTGGCGGGCGGGGCCCTGTGACAGGCGAGGGCTAAGTAAAACAGATCTATATCCGAGCGGGGCTCGAAGCCAGGCGGGGCCTGGAGCGGCGTGGCCATTGTAGCGGGCAAGGCCCGAGGTAGGGGTGAGGCCCATGATAGCGGACGTGGCCCAGTATACGCAGTATGTGGTTATGCCTAGTATGTGGTAGGGTGGGGAACTCACTAAGCTTCATGCTTACGATTTTCAATTTTGGTTTCAGGTACTTCCGGTAGCGGAGGGAAAAGCTCGGGGTGATCGCATGGCACAGACCATAGATTAGACAACCTGGGAATGTTTACTCTGATAATGAACATGTGTTTTGAAACTTATACTAAGATTATGTTTTGGAATGATGACTTTGCTTTGTCACAACTGGAAATTTTGTGTCATGTAATCTATACATTCAACCTAATGTGAATCAAAAACTTCAATCAAATACAATATACAAGCACTACAAGTAGTCATCAAACAATTGGAGACCCTAGAAGTTCTTGTTAAGTCCACTTGGACTAGGACTTCCTATTTGGATCCAAATGGACCAATAAGCTTCCAATTGGACTATCATGGGCTTAGGACCCTAATTGGGCTCTAATTGGACCCACACTAATTTATTTCAACATTTTAGGTCATATTGGGCCTAGAATGAAATAAATCACAAGCTTTGATCCAAAATTTAACCTAACCTAGCTTAATAAAGCATAAAAATCACAATTTTATTTTATAAGGCCAATAAATACCCTACACTACCTCTAATAGTGGGCTTAGGGGCAAAAGCCCAAATTTTTCCTTTTTCCCTTCACATTCTCGGCCCAAGGCCCAAATCCAAGAGAGAATGGACTTGCAAATGACACCTCATCTTTACCCATAGGATATCCATGCATTAATCTCATTTCTCCATGCACATCACCTCAAATATCACCTCTCTTCTCTCCTCTCTCTCACTCTCGGCCATACACACATACACACACCAAAAATATCTCAAATTCTCTCTAGATCACTCAAGAACAACTCTCCCTCTCCACTCAAAAATCTCGAGTTCTAGGAAGCATTCAAGAGGAAATCTCCACAAAATTCTTCATCTAAGGTAAGATTATGCATAGATCTATGGTTTAAATTCTTTTGTTATCAAAATCCTTTCCTAATCTATGCAAAAATCGTGATCTTGCATCCTAGAACCATCTCAAAACTCGAGATCTTCATCAAAGGGAGCTAAGGCCAAAAACACTTCATTTTCCTTCCATTTTTCCTTGCAAAACCGAATCAACACCCCAAGGTGAGCTTCATACCCCCTATTTTCTGTTTTTATGAGTTTTGTGGGGGGGGGGGGGGAATACAAGTGAAAGTGTAGATCTATATGTGTTTTGTATGCCTTGTATGATTTCCATGCTTATATGTATGCTTTTATGTGTTTTTATGTTGGATCTAGCATTAAAACCCATCAAAACCGAGATATATCTTGTGTTAAATGATTTTAGCTTCAAATATATTTCTAAACACAAAGTGTTTCAAGAAAAATGGCTAAGTGGTTTAGTAATAATTTTCTTTGGGTTAAAAACACAAATTTTGGGCCTAAAATGTGAAAAATGCAAAAATAAGGGCCCAAATTGACATTTCACAGATTCTGATGGATGAAGTGTGCCAAAACAGTTTCCATAAATAAATTTCTGGAAATATACTCATTTAGGGGATTAAAAACATAAATTCCAAGCTTAATGGGCTAAAAATGAAAATTTCGGCCCAATAAGGCCCATTATGCGAATTTTTCTGTTTTGGAGGGCCAAAACTGTAACTTTCTGTAAAACAGTGGACTATAAGTGTTCCAAATCCTTTTCAAAGGTTTAAAATGCTTTTTAAATTTAAAAAGGACCAAAGTTGCAAAAATTTTCCAATTTGGGCCAAAATTGTCAAAGTTGCGAAAAGAAGGGATTAAAACCGAGAAAACTGCATTTTCAAGGACTTAAACTGTTTTCTATGAAAAATATGCTGAAAAATATTAATTTCAATAATTTTTGGTGTTAAAATGTCAAGAAAAATAGTTTAAGGACCAAACCGGGAAGTATTTAATAAAAAGGGTTGAAAATGTAAATTTTACAAATAATGAGGGGCTGAAAACAGGAATATTTCAAGGCTAGTTCAATGTACACAATTTGATCAAATAATGCACCGCGACTATCGACGAAATACAATACATTACAATACCCAAAAGTCGTTGTTAAACGAATTGGCTCGGTCTCGAGCCAATAGAAATCTACAACTACTAACACTACGACACTACGATTCATACAAGTAACGTTTGGTAATACATATACATGCGAGTGTGCACAGACGTCTACGCACCATCTTTGGGCCCCACAAGTGTAAAATCTTGTTCGTTGAGCCTAGCTAGCCCAATGACCTGATCTTAAGGCCCGAAGACATTTTTTTTACGGTGTGTTGGGTTTTACCGATCCGACACAACGTAAATGGACTTTCAATGGCTTGTATACCACCGGTCCCCAAGGGTCCTTTGGTATTGCTAGTAAAGTCTACATTTCATGCGAGGCGGGTCGGGGACCCCTCGTACATTTTATCCCCAACCGGCTAATGGAGTTACCGGGGTCTTCGTGACCTCTTTCTCTTCGGATGTGGGACTACACCTAGTCAGGGCGATTGGATAACGCGATTAGTACTGACGACGCCTTCGGAGTCGTTAGTATAACTATAAACTGGGCGTTTGTGTAACGCGGGTTTGTAGTAAATAATCCTGCTCGAAAACCTTCCAACGTCGCCTGGGACTGACACTATACGCTATGCAATGGTTTCAATGTAACATCACGTAATTCAAGGAACTAGGAGAACATCGGGTTTTCCTAGGGTTTTCAATACGAACTGATTTGAAATGCATACATTCAATGAACATTTTTTTTCAAGTATAGAAACAAACAAGCATACCTATGGATCTTCACAAACGTTTTCGAAACTTATCTTTTCAGAAAATATCGGATTTTCTGGTGGTTCTTCAAACAATACAAACATTCGATTTCAAACACTACTTATGAACTCACCAACATTTCATATGTTGACGTTTTTCAAAATACTTGTATTCTCAGGGAGCCAGTGAATCAAGGGAAATCATATCCAGTGACGGTTGCGGTTTATTTTTGTATGAATTGAACAAATTAATTTTTGGGGAATGTAATGTTTAAACAATGTATGATATGTAAACACTACTGGTTGTACTATGTTGATGAATGGTGACGAATGTTGTTATGTTTCATATATATTCAATGTTATGGTATTCAATTGAGTCACGACAGCCCCCGGACGTTTCCGCCGTCTGGTTCGGGGGTGTGACAGGTTGGTATCAGAGCTTTGTTTATAGTGAACTAGCATGTCGAGCCATACATTGATATGCAACTA